CCAAACACTTACGGCTTTTTTTCTCCACTACTAGGAAGGAAGGCTTTGCCCAGATTTTTTTTGGCTTCTTCCATCATACGCCGTCTCCTCACTTGATTCAGATTTACGTAGCCTTCACCTTCAAAAATCCTTACAAAATGGGGATCGAAATAACCTGCCTGGAGATCTGACATTTCTTTGGATCCTCCAGGTAGCATCTGTCTATTTTTGCTTGCAGCCTCATTAAAGGGTCCTTTAAAAATAAATTAGAAATATTATAATTTTGAGCTCACTAGTAACTAACCGGACACGGAAAGTAACAGAAAAGTTTCCAAATGTGGTTTGGGCCAATTATGAGTTTTGAACTCTAAAAACTTACTGTTTCAAAACATTCGCTGAAAGTTCTGGGTTAAAGGCTGTACTGACAATAAAGCCTAAGATGTTATCATGAAAACATTTGAACATTTAGGTTAAGGTCCAGGTTATACACTCTTAATTTTAGAGTTGGAAGAGAACTTAAAGGTTATCTAATCCAGTATTTCTCCATCTATGTACTAGGAAACACTGTTTGTGTGACACGTCAGTAAGAGTGCGTGCACAGGGTAAAGACGGGTGTTTCATACTCAAATTGAAGCAGTTCCCCTCCTAGGTACCTATTCAAGACACATGAGTGCCCATGTCTACTAAAGACATGAACAACAATAATCATAGCAGTTTTATTCATAATGATCAAAACCAAGAAACAGCCCAAATGTCCATCAATAAGAGAACAGATTAAAAAATTGTGGTATTTACAGAATGAAATGCTAGTAGCCCAGTAATTTTTTAAAAGCCGTTTTCAGAAATATTTAGAACTTCTTTTACTATTTGAGAGCTATCGGAGAGCTCTATTTGAGAAGTCCTTCAGTAATGTGAAGAATTTTTTGAAGTATATACTACCCTTAATTCAACTGGATATTGAAATGTGAATTTGTAACAGTGATTTTTTTAACCTGATTTTTTTGAAAAGATAGTACATCCAAATAGTTCCAAATTCAAAAGTATAAACATCTTCACAATAAGTCTTCCATACTTAGCCACCCAGTTCCTCTTCCACAAGCAATGACATTTGGTTTTCTAGAGAATGTTTAGGCATGTTCAAGTGAATATTTTCATATATATACTTTTTCATTGTTAATGCTTAGCATACTATATGCACTATTCAAATATACCTGCTTTTTTATTTACAGTGTATCTTGGAGATTTTTACAAATCAGTGTTTTCTTTTTTATTGTTATATAGAAGTCATTGGATATCTAAAAATTTAACTGAGATGTAAAATATTCATTTACTTTAGCTCTTTTTATTATTTATGACTTTTCTAAAAATCCCTCTGCCATTCATTTAGCATTTCATGTTTTAGAAAAGTAATAATGGTTGGTCTTCTTGGATGCAAATGTAAATGCTGTCTGCATACTGGAGTGTCTCATCTAAAAAGAAAAAGCTAAAAGCAAACTATTCTGGGAGAAAACTGCCATTCACCTTTAGAAAGAAATAAAATTGCCTTATGAGGACAGTAAGTGGGTGTCGAGTAGCCCAGTAAAATGAGTTTCCTACTCTTATAAAATTAAGTTCTCTCTTTATTGAAATTTTACAAGGTAATCAACTTTAGAACTAAATGCTTTAAAACATAGACCATTGAAAATATGTGACTTAAACACTAAATTCAAAATTTCTTATAGAAAATACCCACTGTTTGGCTGTAAAGAAAACCAAATATACTTACGATTAAATTGTGACACATATCTATCACCAACAGTAATATATTCCATCTCACTAAAGAGGCCAATCCTCTCCATGTCCGTTTTCCCTCCTTCTGCAGGCATGGTTGCTTCTTGTGGTGGTGTTCTCTATCTTAGTAACTTCAAAAGTTTCCTTAGAGCTATTTCTTTTACAGCAAAATCCTAATTTGCATTGAAAAACAAAGGGGAAACGTTTAGAAAAAAAAGTGATCACTAAATTTCAGTTCCAATTACTTTCAGTATGACAATTTTAACATCCACTATAGAACAACAGTCCCAATTTCTGTGGGGAAAGAATCTACCCTGTGGGGCTGGGGGCAAATAGTGGGATTGAAAATTATCCCATGAACCCTCCCTTCCCTTGACTCTCCATGTAAAGGGCCCACAAATTACAAAGGAATGTGTACGATATCATCTGTTGCACTGAGGGAAATGATACAATTATTACTGTATAGTACAGTATAAATAATATGTAAACAAATCCTTCTGTTGAGAAGTTCAGGGTCAATTTAAAAATTATAATTATATAAGGCAGACACTTTTACAGTTTAGATAAAATGATTTAAACAGCCTGTATTGTCCCTCATATTGAAAATTGTAACAGCTTTTCAGAATGCACAACACATTGTCCTACAGTTCTTGAGGTTTTTTTCAAGTTTAAATGAATATAAGAAATATGCCACTGGCAAAATTAGCTCATAGAGGGAAGATGGGGAAAGAACAATTATTTAGGCAAGATAAAAACAAGAATAACAACAAAACAAACAAAAATTCCACAATAAATTCTCAATATTTGCTAAAGGGCAGACTGCAACTGTGAGTTTCTTTTGAAATGGCCACTTCAAACGAAGGTGAAATATCACATGAAACATGCAACTCTTTATTTAGAAGTTACTTTTTAAAATTAGATATGTCCCAAAAAGGAGAACCAAAGAGCTAAGAATACTTGCCTCCAATCACCCTAATGTTTTAAAGCATCAACTATGAGCTCTTCACTGGTCATACACTAGTGAATAAAACAAACATTGGTTTATGCTTCCCAGTTTATAATCCAAGGTAAGAACCTTTTACCTTGAATTTAGAGCAAGCTGTTTCAATGACTCTCACCAAGCTTGTCTGGAACTGTGGCTCATCTGAGTATGAATCATTTCTAATGTGTAATATCAAAGGGGCAAGTGAAAATTCATTTTAAACTAAAGCACAAAAAATACAACACCCTTCCCCTATCCTATCTCTTCCACTGATCAGCTATGCTTTAGAACTAAACGTCAGTCAATTGGAATGCAGAACTTCGATTTACATCGTATTTCAAATCTCCACCCCACTGCCCAACCACAAAGCCTTCCAGTGCTGCTACAGAGGTTTAAATCCTTTAAATGGCCCACAAGGTCCACTAAATCAGCCAGCCTCAACCGTCGCCATGGAGATCCCCCTCCCTGACCCCTTGGATGCATTTATTCTCTTGCAGTTCTTGGGTGGGGCTCTCTCCAGGCACAGGACTACTACCCAGATTGCTTCACTATAGGCCAGTACTTCAGCGTGCCGACCCTTCCCCACACACACTTAACACTGATCCTTCAGATTGCTCAATTTATTCACTTCTTTAATTCCCTCTATCATAGCGGCATGTACTTCTCCTTCCAAGCCCTCATCCTGGTTATCTGCTGGGTCATCATTTACATTCGTGGTGTCGTGTAGGCATCCTTTCATTAACAGCTATTTTCCCCACTAAACTGCCGGCTCCACAAAGGCAGGAATGGTGGTACGAGTTTGGCTCCTGACCACAGCATTCCCAGTGTCTGCCCAGCGTGTGGCACACCATTCAGCGAGCTATTGAAGGAGGAAAGGAAAGTTCTTATTCAGAACTTCTGCACTACTTAACTCTTCTTGAGCAACATTTACAAAATCATTCATTCATTCACTTAACAGATACTTTGCAAACCCCTCCTCCGGGCAAGGCTCGCTGGTAGAAGCTAGAAAAACAGATTTAAAAAGGCATAGATGCTGCCCCCAGGAAGCTTACAATCTAGTAGACAAAAAAATACAGTATAACACAAGTGGAATATGGCAGGTTCGCTTGGAAAGGTATGGATAAAGTGTCCAGGGGTGGGGGGTGGTGAAGAAGGGGCAGAAAACTTCTGGCTGAGATGATGAGGAAATTATGAATAATTAGAGGCTCCGAGTAGGAAGTTTATCTAAGAGGCAACACCTAGTGTCCACGAGGACCAAGTCACCTCTCGGAAGTGCTTCAGATCAGGTCGTCCCAATCGGATAACTGAGATCAGGTCGTCCCAGTTCCAGTCTGGGTTAATTGGGCTGCAGGAGCGACGAGGGCTCCAAGTCGCCCTCGAGCAAGCGCCTCCCGCAAGAGGCCCTGGCCGCGAAGCGCCTCCGCACCGTCCGCGCGCAGGCTCTTCATTGTGACGCGTTGCCCAGGGTACTGGAGAATCCACTCCAAGTACGCTAGGGGCGGTCGTCTCTAGGAGGCGCAGTGTGACACGCCCCGTGCCGTAATGATACCAGGCATCCTGGGAGTTGTAGTCGGCCCGCCCTGACCCCGCCCGCGTCTGGCGATGACGCCACTTCCGGGCCGGCCCCCTGAACCCGTGGGCAGGTGTCAGTGCCCCTGTCACCGCCACGTCGCGGACATGGTAAGTACCTCTGCTCGTCACCGACCACGTTGTTTCCCCTCGGGCTCCGGCAGCCTCCACGAGTACAGCTCTACAGCCCCTGAGAGGAGCTGGTCCCGCCGGGGCCCAAGATGACGGCTGCGAACTCCGCGGTCGGGGCAGCTCTCTACTTGCCTCTCCCTGCTGGGGCCGAAGAGAAACTGCCCCCCACAACCATCCCTCCCGCCTCAGCTGGGTTTGGACACGCGCTCCCTGCCCCCCTTCTTCGTGAATGCATTTTGAGGGATCGTTCGACGTTTTTGAAGCCTTTGAAGAAGGATTTAACCTGGGAAAGATAGGCATAACTTTCTTCCTGTATTCTAGTCCCTTAGTTTCCGTGACGTCACACTCTCCTGGTTTCCCTCCGGTCTCATTGCTCTGCAGAGTTCTCCAATACCTATCCTAGATGCTGTTCTTAAGGGAAACGTTACACCCTATGCTTTCTTCCAAATTTGTATCTCCACCTTAGACCTTTTTTCTGAGCTCCAGACCCACAAATCTAACTGTGCCTTCACTTGGATAGCTCATATGTATTTCAAACTCAGCAAGTTCAAACATGACTCTTCATTTCCACCTCTCCTCACCCCACCTCTGTCCTTCCTCCAATAACCCCCATCTCTGTAAATGGCACCACCATCGACCCTGTTGTGCCTGCCAAAACCTGAAAATTATCTTTGACATCTCCTGACATTCAGTCTATAATCCAGTCCTATGGATTGTACTTCTAAATGTCTGTCTATTGTCACTCTATCCACTCTTACCATCCTTGTTCTTCCCACCATCAGATCGAACCATCTGGGGCAGTCTCCTAAGTAGTATTTTAAGCGGGCCTTCACCAGTCTGTGCCCCTGCCTGGAAAGGCCTCTTCTGCCTCCAGCTGCCATCTTTCCTTTGGAATTGTTAATATTGGTACCTACCCTTCAAATATTGGTTTAAGTATTATTTCTTCAGAGAAGATCTCAGTTCAGAAATATAGGGAGACTCTAGTGCTTTCACATGTGATCTCTTATGGAATCTTCACAATAACCCTGGGAAGTTGTATTTTTTCCAGTTTTACAGAAGAGAAACAGAATTGAGCAATTAGTCAAATTGTGCAAAATCATACAGTAAGTAGATGAGTTAAAATTTTCGCTTTCCTGTCTTTTTAACTTTTATCTTTAGTATCTTTAAACTTGTTTTGTTCTTTATTTAACCGACTTCTTAATGATAGCTATTTAAGTGGTTTCCAATATTTTTGTTCCCGTGATGATAAATGACAACACTGAAGCTAAATTTGTCCCGACCTTTCTTGTTTCCTTAGAATAAATTCCAAGAAGTAGGATTGGGGCAAAGGGTATGATCTTTCAGCAGGGTTACAATTTGTAGAATAAGTAAAAGCAAACATCCTTTAAGAAATGTGACAAAGAATTTGTAAAATGAGAAAAATTGTAATGGTACCTATTTCATAATGTTCTGAGGATTAGAGTTAAAGTATGCATTTAGCATAATGCCTTTTACAATGCCTTACATGCTGTAAGAGCTCAGCAGATGTTAGTACTTACTCATTTATTTCAAAATAGGGTTCTTACTGTCTTACTGGTTCTTCAGCCTATTTGGGACATATTTTGAGAATCTGATGAAATCTTTTAAACCTTTTCCCAAAAGAAATCACCCCCGCTCCCTCTTTTTTTCTCTCCTTCCCTCCTCCTCCTTCTTTCTCTCTCTCTCTCCCCCAAACAAACACACACACACAAATGATACATGTCATTTGTCATGTGTCATCAACTACATGAAACTCAGCATATAGACCCAAGTTCAGAACTGCTGATCAGTTCTATTTTGGAGATGCTTTTTTCCGTTTATAAGTTGCAAGCATTGTTTTATGCCATTTGATTTTCATCTAAAACATGATTTTTTATGGCTGTATGATATTCATAATTATTTAACCAATCTCCTGGTGTTGACAGGTTAACATCCTCATACCTGAATCTTTGTGTGGTTTGCACATTTTTTAGACTAAATTTCTAAATATGGAATCACTAGACCAAAGATGTGAATATAAGGCTTTGATTCTTAATTGCCACATACAACGAAGAGTTCTGCCAGTTTGTACTCCCACCATCAGTGATGTATTAGTTTCCTTTCATTGTTCTGACTACCAGGTGTTGAGTTCAGTGCTCTTGTCACATTCTTAAACTAGTCCTTTACCATGATTTTTTTTTTTTTTTTGTCATCGTTAAACCCATCAAGACTATAATAGAATTTTTGTCTTAAAGCAGTGGTTCTCAGCCTTTTCACATTAGAATTACTGGCCTGGGGGCAGAGGACACTTTTAAATATACATGTGCATAGGCCCACCTTAGACCAATTAATCAGAATCTCTGGGGTACAGCTTAGGTATTAGTAGTTTAAGCTCCTGAGGTGATTTTAGAGTGG